GGCGTAGTGGACAGCGCGTTCGGCGCTCAAGCAAGGAGCCCCGGGTTCGATTCCGGGTCGGAGCACAGGGGCATGTCCGAACATGCGCACCGACGTTGTGCCCTTGGGAAAGGCACTTTACACGGTATCCCCCTCAACCAGAGGGTCTAGTCTCCAACGGCAGTTGGCTTCAGCTGGCGGACGAGAGCAGCGCCAGGCGGGCTGGCGTAGTCAAGGCGGAACTTGAGCGTAACCAAGTCACCCGGCAGCTCGCTGCAAGCATCCCAACCGGAACCAGCATGTCTCCCTTGATATGGTGCCGCTGGAGAAGACGGATGCCCAAGTGTGTGGGTCTCAGATTCGCAACCTGTTATCCACCTTAAACAAATCCACGCGAAGGCTACCGTGTCAACTGTAACCCTCACTCAGGTGTAGGGACTGACACGGTCATCCTACTCGGAAAGTCTGTATTCTGTATATCTGTTACATGAATCTGTATTTGTGCATGACTATGTATCTGTACATGATCTGTATCCGATTGCAAATAAAGATCACGAGTGATTGCCATAGAATAGAAACTACACTGATTTTGAGAAGCTTCTATGCACTAGCTTCTGTATCTTACATTATACATGTATGTGATGCCAGATAACACAGAGATAACCAGACACATTACAGAAACACTATAATGTAACTATACATGTTAAAAAGATGGAAAAAGGCTACCTTCATTTGTATTTTCTTCTGTAGCTCTTCTAGGTTGGCTTGCTGGGCAGCATTCAAGGCAATCATTCTCTGTTCCCGTTCTCTGTAAAATATTGAAATATGAGTTATATGACAAAGTATTTCAAGGTAAAGTGAAACAGCCATCCTGAACTGAAGCATAATGCTTTTCAAGTAGCTAGTAGTAATGCAATGCGGCTTTGCCAATAGAAAAGCTTTTGGAGGCCAGGTACATTGTATGCACTACATTATACGTATGAACCCCCCCAGAAAACTACTATCCTGAAATAAATGGTCAACAGTTTCTACCTGGCCCTTTCCCTGGTTGCCTTCTCCCTGGCCTTGTCCTTCTCTAACTTCTGTTGTTCAATCCTGGCCTCTTGTTCCTCCCGTTTGTTGATGAGTTCCTGCACACGTGCCTGTCTCTCCGCCTCTAACGCCTTCCTGCGCTCCTGCACTGCCTCTTCTTTAGCCGCCTTCTCTTCCTGCTTCTTCTGACGCATATCCTACATGGTTGAATGAACCAATGATGTTCCTCACTTAGTACTAGAACAATGATACATTGTTACAGTAATAATCTGCATTAAAATTTTTGAACTAAAATTTGACAAGGATTCACAGTGTGTTGCACAATGGTGAGCCATCCTTTGCCAGCAGGTTGGCACAAAGTTTTTGTGTGTAGTGATACTGCTTGATACATGTGGTTGTAATTCTGATCAAAGTAGTTAGGGGGCACTGCTAGTACATAAGGAGATCACACCTACCAGCAGCTCCTGTAGTCTGGACTCCACCAGCTGGTAGCGAGTCATGATGTCATGCCGTTTGTTCTGTGCTTCCAGGGTGTTGATGAAAGCGATTTCATTGGCCTGCAGGGAAGATGATTAACCGGTCAAAACACTTCAATACCTTCTGTCAGGTTTGCCCTAACTAAAGAAAATTAAAATGACAGTTTCTAGTTTTAAACTTTCAAAAATATCTCCTATATAGTGTTGTATCTGAAAATACTTGTTAACAAATTAACAAAGTGAATCACACTGAGTCAAAAACTACAACACTAATGGGGTTGTGTGGAGTAACGGCAGAGCATTCCGCTCGGAGGTCCCGGGTTCGAATCCTGCAAAGTCACAGACCTTGTGCCGTGGGGAAAGGCGCTTTATACGATTACGCTTTCCTCACTTTGCTCAGGTTAAAATGATTAAGCCATAATGATCATTATCATGATTGTGAGCATTCAAGGGAAACTTAAGCAAATCATAAAAAGAGAA